ATCGTGAGTCATTTCGGTGCAACACACTCCTTTACGCCTCATTTCCTTAAGTTCCTGTATATTATTTTACAATTGACGAAAATATTCTAAGCGATCTCTGTCTTTGATATTTGCATTTAAAATTCTCTTTGCATTTCTAATTTCTGCCATGCGCGATTCTTGTTCTTATGTAAATTAAAACTGGGACAAGTCTTTGAAGTTCTGTCTGTGGTATAATAATATTATTTTGAAAACTTGTGTTGAAATCCTAACCCAGGTTTCTTCATTATATTTACTTCGACACTGAATAATCGGCCGTTAAATAATCGCTGTTTTAAAAGTTGTTCAAACGATTTAGCAATATTATATTTGAGGATTTAAGTGCTATGACCAGCGTTTGTTTTTATTGAGTGCCAAGTAAGTAAAACTGGCTCCAAATTTACTGAGTAGTTACCGTGAAAATTTCCAAAATTTGTTAGTCATTTTATGACTCCTTTATGAATATTCTTGAGTACAATCTGTTGTTCTTAGTTTTGTATTATTCTACGAATATTAAATAATTAATTTGTGATATGCGTGTGAACTTGTATTTGCGTTTTAACGTGTGATGATATCTTACGAATTTATTTTTGCAATGTCTAAATAAAGCAATTAATTTTGAGCCGGAATATGGTACTTCCACGAAACGTAAAGAAATATTCCCTAGTTGAAAAGTTTGTCTGTCAGTTGTAGATAGTGAAAGTAAAATATTAGTCATTAGTAATTCCCAGCATTCATAGCTACATTTGTTCTTATTTACACAGAATGTCCATGAAGTCTGGAATCAGTGTAAAAAATATTTTATTAAGGTAGTTACAATAAAATAGTGAGAACATATGGTTAAAATGACAACTGTCAAGTTCAAAGCAATTGTGAACGATAACGAATTGTTATTTGAAGTTTTTCCAAAATGTCAGCAGCTGTCTGTACGATTCTGATTTTTAGTTGTTATAATTATGTTATTTTTACGTAATAAACTTTCTACGTAATTTTGTCATACAGCAAAATCTATCGTATTCAAATCGGACAATCTCGGGTCCCCTTCTGTGCACAAAGGACTTTGTGAGAAATGTTTTAAAATAGAATAAGTCTACATTTACTCCTGACGTTATGGAGATTCTGTATTTTCAAATAATACTTACAACGTAATCTACGTAGTGTCATTCATGTATTCAGTCTAATTAATATAACAGCGGTTGAGATGTTTGTGAAATGGAGACATGTCTGTCAGTGTTGTTGGATGGTCATGTGTTTCACAAACAGCAAGTCAAAGTTTTGGAAGGTGGGGTATAAAGGACCAGGATTCGCAAGACATTTGCTCGCAGCTGCAGCTGGAAAGTTTGCAGACAATATGGCGCGACTGGATGGCGTCCCTTCAACATCGCCAACTCAGACATTACGAACTATGTGTAGAAAATAAACAGCAGGTTGCTTCATTGCAGGTCTCTCATACCTATTCTGCCGAACTTTCATGAACACGGCGCAGATGAATCGTTTCCTTATGTTTAACTACGACTTTGGATCCTCGGTGGCCTTGTACCTATAGTTTCAGAGACGAAATGCTCTCCTCAGAGCTTGACTTGTATACGTAACATGTCTTTTGTATGTAAGATTTGAGGTTTTCACAGCGGCGAGTATGAAGATTTTTGTCTTCTGGGTTGTTGCGCTATGTAGTCTGGTATTCATCGCCCTGATGACGGAGACGTTGGTTAACATCGACCAGACTACACAGCGCAACAACCCAGACGACAGAAATCTTCATGTCTTTTGTAACGTATAAAATGAGGTTTCTCGTTAATATCGTATAAAAACGTCGGATAATTTGGTATGCTTACAAGGAAATTTTATTAGCTCTAGTATAAAAGTGTTTTTATTGGTTACAGAAAATAAGCTGAAAACATACACATGACAGACTATTCTTGTGCCTTTATTGGCTTGTGCTTGTTATCAGCTCCATACCGGTTATTCCACGAGCCGCTGCCGGCTGGATGCGTAATCATTCCGGCCCAGAAATTCTTTTTTATATTATTATATTCTTGTCTCGGAATGATTTCGAAAAATACCACTGCTTTCCTCTTCTCTTAACGACATTCTGTTAAGCGGCTAAGTGATGAGGAAAGCGAACACTGAATTTTATGTCATTCGTTGAACCGCTAAGCAAAGGTAAGATGTATTAAAAAGTCCACAGCTCTGGAAAGACGAACATGTTTAATACCATTCCTTATTTTGTTTGTCCGCCTGCTTTGTTTTTAGTTGCAAATCTACACTGTGTGTAATGTGACGTATCGTCGGTTTTAATACAATACCATTGAACTTATAAGAAATTTAAAGAAATTTGTTTAGATATGCTTGTAATACTTGTAGGCCTATTTGTGATTTATTAATCATTCTGCACAGCAACAGGCGACAGGTGAATCACGATATCATACTGTCTAATAATGTCAGCGAATTAAATAATAGTTGAATGCCACATATTCTATAACTTGCATAATCGTAATGGTTGTTTGTTCTTCAGTAGCCATATTACTATATACTATTGAGTGCTACACACAGAATGGTTCATTTTATGATGCAATGAACCACTACAAACAAGCCACTTCATAGCGATAGGCGATACGTATAAGCAGCATGTATCGCGTATTGCCTGATGCTTGTTGCTATTTGAGTCGGTGTTCGTACTCTCATAAACAACAGCGTAACTACGGATAATCTTGTTCCAGTTGTACCCACGTGCAAGGATGATCGAGAGGAATTGCTGGGCGCCTTAAAACACGAGACGTTGACACTGAGGTGTGAGGTAGACGCCAATCCACACCTTGTGACGTTCCATTGGACGTTTAACAACTCCGGCGACCTGGCAGAAGTGTCCCCGTCTCGCTTCACGAGTGTTGGTTCAGTGTCGCGTCTCAATTACACACCCGTGACCGATATGGATTACGGCACCCTGGCCTGTTGGGGTTCCAACGCGGTCGGCCACCAACGGTCGCCGTGCATCTTTCAGGTAGTGGCCGCAGGTAACTTGCAAGGCTACAGAATTTACCCTCACCCTCCCCGTCAACGCACTTCACTATCAGCTATTTGTGGAATTGCATAAAATAATGTTTACTAAGAAATGAAAGAACGTGTTGAACGCCTAATTTGCTTTGAGTTTCCTGATAAAATAGGCATGGAATGTGACGAATATTTCTTTAATAATTTGTTGTTAATTTAGGAGCACTCTGCATTTCAATTAGCTTTCAGTTGCTTCATAAAAGCTTGACACTGTGAAAGCGTCTCTTCGCTGTAATGATATCCTGGGGCACGAATGTTTATATGTTGTTTACATCACGTCAGGATTTAAAAGCTTGCAGTCATACACATCGTGCCTGTGGCTATTAAATGTAACCACTAATACCTTCGATACCGTTTTCACAGCATGTAACATGCACCAGGGATAAAAATTGCACTTGTCTCTGAACTGGAAACGTTCGAAAGTGTGTTAATGTAAACGACAACAAATCAGCATACATCTAGTGTGCTGTCTTACATGAATCATGTAGAGGGTGGAATGCTTAGATCAAGAACAGGAGATAGAACAGCACACATTTCGGGGGGAAATTACACAAAGAAGAAAAATTTCAGTACGTCACTAAGCCTTTTTCGGCACAAAAACTGTAATACCTTCACAGGCATCAACCATCCAGCGACCTTTGATTGAATCTTATTTTATTTAACAGTGTGTGTGTTATCTTCTTCTGGCGCAGTGTCAGTTTGCTTCGTTGATGAGATTTTAACGTGAAATTAAAACTATTAAAGCGTGCGCTTAGATTTTTCGTCATCTTTTATTAAGACGATAAAATCGATGACTCTGAGAAAAGCGGGTTATGTAGCACGCAATGGAGATGAGAACATCTTAATCAGATAATCTGGAAGGAAGAGCTCGCAGAGTCGTAGATGTGAGGAAAATATTAAATTAGAACTGAAAAAATGAACTATAGGGCAAAGACTGGATTGATCATGTTCAAGACAGTGTTTGATGGCGTTATTTTGTGAATACACTGATGTGCTTCGGATCTCGTATAAGATTGGGGTATTTCTTGAATGGCTAAAAAATTGCCAGTTTTTGCACAGGAATAAATAAAGACTTCTGTTTATATTTTACTGGCTCTTAAACTGTGTTTGCTGACACATGACATACAACAGCTTACGTAAGACAAAATTTGCAGTACAACTGACATCTTTTATGTCCAGGTGTACTGATTTTGAATCTAAATTACTTTGATTTATATGTAAATTATTTGCACTGATTCCGTTATATCCTATCATAAAATGAGGAACGAAACGAAATTAATAGAAATGCTTCTATTTTAATATTTTTTTAAATATTTTCCGTCAAATCACAATTTTAATAAGATAATAAAATATTTAAAATATCATTTCACGTTCCGCATCGAATGATCGATTTACAAATTGGAACGTCTCTTACGACATGTTTCGGTTATATTTAACCGTCCTCAGGTATAAATTAGATTGGTAAATTTAAAACTCGAATTACAATCATTTACAATGTTATGCAGTTTATTGAAATGTTCTTATCAGATTATTCTTATATATTAGAACGAAGGTATTGTTTTTTATATGGCGTGGTTCATCTGATGTTTAATATTAGTCTGTAAAGCAATGATTTAAATAAAACATTAATAAATATGGAGTAATATAGAAAACAAAATGATGGAGGTAAATAAATAGTAGAATTTATAAGTAAAATAAAATAAAATTAATTTAATAAACATATCGGTGATGAGTTGATAGAGACATGACGTGTCTGGCGGAAGACATCTAGAAGTATTACTGTGTCGGGTCGAGGTTTAATACTGAATTGCGGTTGCTCGTGGAGTGCGTAGGTGAAAGGAGGTTGTTATGGTTGGGGTCAAGGATCTGGAGGGCATTGAAGATGGGGTTATTAAGAAAAATATTGTTGTCGTTTAGGGAAAGGTTTTGTTTATATGTTTGTTGTATGTAATATTTCTCTATTGTATCTCTATGTCTTTTGTTACGTACTATTTTTAGAATGTCCATAGTTTGTGTAATTGTATTGTATGAGTGTCCTGTGTTTAGAATATGCTTTGCGTATGCAGAATTTTCTTTATTGTGTTTTATGGCAGCTATATGTTCTTTATATCTTTGTGTAAAGGTGCGTCCAGTTTGTCCTATATAAGTTAATTGGCAATCTTTACATTTTAATCTGTATATACCTGGAAGGTTATATTGATTATTAATATCTATTGATGGTTTTTGTTTGAGGATGTTTTTTATTGTATTGTTTGTTTTGAAGGCAATTTTTATTTTGTTTCAAAAATAACAAAAATATTCAAATAAAACAAAAATTATACACACTTCGAACCGGTAAAAATATAAAATTGGAGAGAAAGCAACAAACGAGGGGAGAAAGAAGACAAGAATGTTATATAAAAAAGGAATATGTGGGAAATGATTAATGTGACAGATGAGCAAGGAAAGAATAAATTTTAATTGGCCGTTATGAAGTAAATCTAAAAATATTTATTTCTTTTCGCTGCATAAAATTTTTGTCAAATCTGACTGATATTTGTAAGATCACGGTAGAGACATCTTGATTTTACGCGATGGTGTCCCATTGCCTGAATAACTTTTTAATTTACAGATTTAGAACACTGAGAGATCCGTATTCTGTGTTATATGCCGTTAAATCTTCCACTGACTATTTTTTTTTTTACATTTTTCTTTTATTTATTGACGATTATATTTGACCTATATGGGCATAAAATTCAACTTACGCAGAGATTTCTTTCCCCACCTAACTCCGAATAAGAAATTCGTTTTAAATTCTTTGATTAGTTTTGAAAGTGAAACATTCAGATAAAATGAAATGTTTATAATATGTACACATTTTTTTTTTGAACATTATACAACG